TGAATGTAACCACACTATTTCAAAACTTTTCTGGCAACTACATAACTCAAGAAAGCGCTCTCCCCGCTTTCATTCATCCGTAATATCTTTTGGATTACTTGTGTTACATCTGATACACTTTTGAAATATCAGTATCAGCTGACGTGTTATAGATTGGAACCAAACAATTGCTTTAAAACGACGAAACAATTAGTGTCTTGTTTTTGTTCCCTCTCTCGTGTATTTTTGTTGGAAAAAATAATTAGTGGTATTTCAGAATTGCATCAGAGAACAGACATTGTCAAATATAACACTTTCGGATTTATTTTATTTTATAAAGAAATTCCATGAATATCTACGTCATTCATTCTATTATACTAATGTAATATAAGCGAAAAAGAAATTACTGCTTGTGACGCTATTTGTATTCTCAAAAAGTCTTATGTGCTTTTTCCGCGTGCTTACTGCATTCCTTGCTCATGTTGAAATTACGTGTACTATGTGAATTGGTTAAAATGTAGGATATTTAAAATTGCTTTTGGTCTGGAAGTTTAAAGTTCTGCACAAGTCTCATTAAATCTGCTCCGCACGAGTTAATCTAAGAATGAAATCATGAATCGTTCTTCTCATATTCCTGGGTGTTGCTTTCCAAATACATCAAAGACAATGTTTTATACAAGAAACGAGATCATTAGGATGCAAAGACAGTACATTTTGGAAACCTGCATGCTTGAAGTATCAACCTTGCATACCAGTTAAAAAACGCGCAATGAAAGCCTTATTATATCGTCGCATTCTTCTGTTTTTACAGTAGAAACCTATTCATGTGCTCCGTATGCAATCCTTTCGTGTTATTGCCGACACGTTCGTCCTTTAACAACACACCTTTATTGACAATCTTTATTTTCCTTTGATCTTGAATTTTCATTTGATCTTGAATTGCATGTAAAATGCATCTACTAAATTTTAAATTCATCAACAGCGATTTATAATCGTAATGAAAATTATTTTATGTAGAACGTACCATAGGTTTCAACAGACATTTGTCGTCTGCTTCTTTCTTAAGAAGGAAAAATAACGTTATGTTGAAACATGCAGTATGTTTTAAACATAAACTACTTCCCATAAATCGCTGTTGTCCGGTTTACTATTGTATCACCATAATGGGTTTCCACACAATAAGTATGTTTGTTTTTGTTTGTTTGTTTGTTTTTTGAATTTCGCGCAAAGCTACACGAGGGCTATCTGCGCTAGCCGTCCCTAATTTAGCAGCGTAAGACTAGAGGGAAGGCAGCTAGTGATCACCACCCACCGCCAACTCTTGGGCTACTCTTTTACCAACGAATAGTGGGATTGACCGTCACATTATAACGCCCCCACGGCTGAAAGGGCGAGCATGTTTGGTGGGATGGGGATGCGAACCCGCGACCCGCAGATTGCGAGTCGAGCGTCCTAACCACCTGGCCATGCCGGGCCAATAAGTATGAAAAGCAGAGCTTAATTTGAGCCGAACTTCTCTGAATATGAGATCCGGAACATTCTGAATTGATTATTTGACTCAGTAGTCAACTACATTATCACTCTCCAACCTCATCTCAAATTGTAGCTTCAACAAAATTAAATTGTTATCGTTCAAAACACAAAATATTTTCCCACACATCAACATGGATCCAGTAACTTTTTTATTTCTAGAAACTAAGCACTTTGTAAAAGTAAAATTGATGATGATAATGTAGAAAATGCGTTTCTCATATAAAACTTGTAGTATACTGTTTATAATATTAAATTCATAACTTCGCTTAGAGTCACTTTTTATAATCAAGTCACTCAAAAAGTTAATAAGAACGATAGATTGTTTTCGTTTAATCTGTAGTTCGTATCGTAGTGGTACGTAGATCTCTTGATACAATGGAAGGAATTACATTTAACAAACAAGTAGAAAACGCAAATATGTGTGTTATTCCGCGATATACATAAACACTGGATATTATATATATAATTCAATCTCATCATCGCAAATAAATGAGTTTTTCTTTCGATTTATCTCACAGACAGTAAATTAACAAACTGCTTAAAGCTAAAACAGCAAGTCAGAGGGTCGAGATACAATATTCAACTATCCTTCTTACTTCAAGGACGCTCAGAGATTTTAAACAAAGCTTTGAAGTAAACATAATGAAGCACTTTTTTTAGCTTTATGATATATATTAGGGTACATAAGCTTTACAAAATTATCATTGTTTATCAATAAAATCTGCACCAAAGTTTGCTCCACCAAATCTTTATTACCTTTATATAGTCGTCCGATTTCCTTCATTAACGTTTGAGTTTATATGTTTGCATTCGTATTTTTATGGTAAAGATACTAAGGCTATCTGCTGCCTTTTCCAATTTTGAATTACTGACCAGAAGGGGCAACCAGTCAGCAGCGTCCAACCACTCATCATCCACGCTAAGGAATTGACCCTCACTTTTAAAACGCACTCGCAACTTAAAATGCTGGGAATATATTATGATGTCCCTTAGATTCGAACACAGCTTGCAAGCCTGAAATCCAAAGTTGTACCACAAGAACAATCCACGCACCTTCAATTTTAACGTTACGAGATATAAAGACTTTTGATTAAAAAAAAAGTATAGCAGAAAATGGAGTAAGAAGGCCACTTTAACTTTAAATACGGTTTCCATTAATTAAAGTGAATGACATGAAAAAATTAAAAGTTCTAAAATAAACTCTCTTTTTTATTATAGACGTAATTTCTGGTTAAAACAAAGAATGGGCATAGACCTTTATATATATGTGTATATAAATGTGTATGTAATATATTCGTTTTCTCTCTCTCTCTCTCTACAAATACATATATATATAGAGAGAGAAAAAGTCACTTCTTGTGATTGGAGGGGGGAGGCGTTCTACCTATAAGGTTGGATAAAACAGACACCCAAGATGGGGTAAAATGGCGCCCATTCAACTCATAACAACTGCAATTTAAAATAAATGCCTGCCTTTAGTAATTATATTTAAGTCGTCGTTTAAATGCTCCTGACAGGGATCGGCGAAGCCTTGCGCCATGCGTAAGTCGTGCATTATCGCAGGGGAGGGCGTCATACCTAAGCTTCAACTCGTAAAGTAATCGCAGGCTTAAAAAATATGCGAAATTCAACAGGGTTCCTTTTACGAAGCTTACGACTGTCTATAGTTCCTCAATGTTTGAAATCTACGAAGTGGATTTCCCTGAAACATCTTATCTGTACCATAAAAATTCATAAAAAAAAAAGCTGTTCAAAAGAAAATACTGAAGTCGGCTTTGATCAGCCACATTCGCGTCTGTCCGTTATTGTGTTTGTAACTGGGATCACATAAACAATATTTAAACATAATTCACTCTAGAGGGTTTCGTGTTTTGTTTGTTTGTATTTAAGCACAAAGCTACACAATGGACTATCTGTGCTCTGCCCACCTGGATATAAAAATTCGGCTTCTAGCGTCGTAAGTCCGCAAGTATACTGCTGTACCACTAGGGAGTAAACTCTAGATGTCAAAACGTAAAAAATGACGTAGAAAAAGTGGCCATTTTACCGAAGGGGACCGTCTTACCTCACTGTCATTCGCTAATAAAAGTCGTTTAACAAGCAAAACGGTTTGGAAGAAGTTCTCGATAAAAACTTGAAATTTATCAAAATTAATTTGAATTGGAAAAAAAACAGACACAAAGTTAACTAAGTTTATTTAAATTACATCGTCAAACTAAAAAAAATAAAAACTCTCCATCCTCCGCAGAAGAAGTTACTTTTTTTCTAGAGTTTGATGATCTATACTAATGCCTCACACTTGCTACAATAGAATTGTAATGCTAACAAATTAAAGATAAATAAAAAAGATGCTCAGCAATCTATTAAACAAGTAATACATTAAACCGGGTTTTTTCTTGAGTTGCACAAACAATAAGCTTTTATCTTTAAATTTGATCTTCTTTACTCTGTTCTCCAAAGGAAGTAAGGTATTCGAGTTTATCTCTGAAGCTTTCATAGTACAAGCTTGAGGCTTATATTTAAATTAAATGTTATGGATTATGTTTTGCCTGTTTCAGTGCAAAGCTACACAATGGGCTTTCGAATCCTGGATTTTAGCGTTGTAAGTCCGTAAAATTACTGCTGACCCACTGGGGAAACTAACAACCGTCAGAGTTGTGCATCATATCAAAACTGCTTTTAGCCGAAGCTTCTTGATGCATAGATGTTATTATTTTAGCTGTGCAATAACATTACATTTGTTCATGATATCTTTTAAATGGAAATAACTAAAAAATGTTGAAGACCTTCTTACGTAATAAACGACCTTTACAAAATACGGAAGTAAGAGCTTAGCCGATACTACGGTGGTTATTTTCAATTTTAAAATAATTACCAAATATTTGATAAACTTTCTTTATCTTTCCATTTCTCGATTTTCAATTAAGTTAAAAGATAACATTTTCGAAGATCGAAATTATGTTTGATGTTGGAAATAAGTTATGTTTCAATGCTAATGTTGACTGTAAAGTAATGTCCCTATTGTTTTGTTTTCCACGTAACTTGGCTGGAAAAGCACGCGATATTTACGCTTCTTGACCAAACAATGTGTGTTGATATAAAAATTACGTTCACACCTTTCAACAATATTTCCTAAAATAAACATTTTATTCTTCAGTGTAATAATTCTACATCAACTTTTACAAATAATTCAAAATACGATCTGATAAATAATAGATTTTAACAAGATGCACATTTTTTAAAGTTTAACAACATCTGTATTAATAGGAAAAAAATTGGTGCATAGAACTTGTTAAGTGATTTTGTATTTGAATATTTTTAGGGATAAATTTACCATTCTTCGATAATAGTTAAAAGGTATTTAAATATTTACATTCTATAAGAAAAATATTTATGAGATATACAACTATACTCGTATGTAAATGTGTTAGAAAATTATTTCATGAATAATATTTTACAATTCTCAACATTTTGTATGGTTTACTTACTTGTATAAACTTCTCCTGGAACATACTTCTGAGGTTCTCCTGATACCTTTATTTGAAATCCGTTGTCTCCGGGGGTTTTGGGTTTATTATATCCTGAAGGTTCTCGATTACATTTCCTTTGGTAATGCTCAGAGAGTGGTACCGAAGGTTGATATTCTAACTGAATGTTTTGTAGTCTGATCCTCTGTGTCCCTACAGACTGAACAATATTAATAGTAATAGCAGCTAAGGCTAACCAAAAGTGTGTCATAGCTATATAGGATACAGTAAACCTGTATAGCGAATTCTCAAGTTGTAAAGCAACAATGTCTCTTATTAAAGATTCTACTCTCTGACACCACCGTCGCGCGTTGACGTCTGTCGGAAGTATTCCGAAAAACCTGAAACATTATATTTACTAAATCCGCGGGAGTCTATGCGCAAGCGTATATTACTGTCGTATCAGTTTCTGATGGCCCATTGCAGTTATTATATAACCCTGTTGCCAATGGTTGCAAGCTTATTTGTTGACATTTTTCAGAATGCTGAGAAACTTTGACTATTAGTGAAAAGATCTAAACGCCATATTTTTCCAAATTTTCAGTGAGATAAAATCGGATAATAAACGTTCAACGTTAAGTCACACGCCTTACGTTACAGTAAAACAAAAAATAACAAGGAATGACACATAATAAAAATATTTAAGCAAGAACTACAATAGCTCAAAGAGACATTAAAATGGAAAAGTAATAACTGTTAAAATATATAATTTTTCAAAAGAACAGAGTTTAACTTAGATAAATCAACCTTTTTTTTGTTCGAAAAAGCTAGACGCTATTGTTTTCGACACAAATCCTTCCCTGTGTTACTCTTTGCGAAATTATTTTTTTCCAACTATTCCATTAAACATGGCATGATACAAGATTAATTTCACTAACGTAGTAAAAATAGGAAGGGAGAGGGTAATAAGGAAACGTCTGAATGATATTTGTTGTAAAGAAATACAAAGAAGTTCTGTATTTTACATTTAATACTGACATGATAATGTTTACTGTTTAGAAAATAATTTTGAAGCGTCTGCTACTTTTCGAAACAAACTTCTCGAACACTTTTTGAGTTGTGAAAATGAAATTCTGGATTAAGTATCTAAAAACCCTGGGAGATTGGGGCTGTTTAAGAGTCTGTCTGCAACTAATTATATATATATATATATATATATATATATGTATATGTATAATATTGTGAATTTAAAAAGTTAATATCTAGCAACAAATTCCTAATGAAAACTAGTTTATCTTTCATAAACTGTATAGTGTTCGATGTGTTTCAAATATTTTAAGTAATAACTCATTGTGTAATAACTTAAAGTTATCAGAATACGTTTGACCTTAGAAGGAAATTTTCTACCATTCAGAAAAATGCCCCATGGCTGGCTTTAGCAATAACGTGGGGGGGGGGGGGGGTCTATGTAAATATACTGCTTTTAATAAATGAACTTTTTTATATTATAAGTACATTAACGCTACTTCTCATATTGGTTTACAGTAGGTTTCTAAACGATGTCCTAGGTGGCGTGTATTATTAGTCTCAATAATATCTTTGGTTAGTGATTTAAAAGATCAAACGAAAAGTTAAAACGAATCTGTAGAGCTCTTTAGAAATGAGATCCGCTACCACACTTGGGATTTCCGCATTTGGGATTTCATACCTAAGTTCTATGTTGTCAGAACCTTTAAGACTCATAATATCATCACATAAAGTCTAATGTACGTTTTTTTAAAGGATCCGCACGGAATGGATAGCTTACTTAGTCATCAGAGTGTTTATGCATATACAATACCCAGTTGATGTTTTGCTACAATTTATTTATACATCAAATGGTTAAGTTTTAATATAGAGGCGACTGTATAAATCGCCATCTATCGAAAAGCTTAAAACCATAAAAAAAAGAAACACCATTCCACAAACTTATATAAGTATCTCCAGTTTTGTATCAAGAAAACTTTAAGTTTTACGCAGATTTTCCTTCATTTATCGTTCATTCTTTTGTTTGAAATAAACCTGCAAAAATCAGAAGGTGAAGTAACCTTGTACGCTCATCAGAACAGAGACGTAACAAGCAAGTAACTAATCACAATAAATAATAAGACGCATTTAGTTTGTTTCATTTTTAGTCAAATGTTTTTGCGAACTTTGTTACTACTATCATCACTTCAAACATAATTTTTATGTTCACTTTGATATTTATGGTCGACTATTTAATCTCTGACAACACTAAATCTGAACTTTATCAGCATCGAATCTAGTCACCTTACATGCTATCATTATTTGCGTAAAGAATTTGTCTTTTACACTAAAATCCAATAATAACAAAAGAAATAAAACGGAGATAAGTAGACTCCAAGCGATCTAAATTATAGCATATAGTTTTCGAAAAAATTGGATAGCAAAATTATAAAGAAAGTGTACATCAACCCTAAATGTATCTGTTGTGGTAGTGTGAAATCTTAGAACATGCCTTGCTAGCATTTACTAATCTAATAAGTTAACTCTTCAGGCCAGTTGGTTGAGAACTCGCCTGGCATGCCAGGTCTCGGTTTCGACTCCAGGAAAAAGAAAAGGAATACTCCAAATTGTATCATAACTAGTGGTCGTCCCACGACTCTGGGCTGAGGACAGTCCTTGTTTGTGAGAAAGAATGAATGTGGTAGTTTGAATTGTTAAAAAGTACCTTACTAGGGATGGCCAGTGGGCTAACCCTTTATCTCTGTTGGTAGAGTGTTTGTCTAATGCCCCTCCCCACAGTGGCACAGCGATAAGTTTGTGGACTTATAACCTAAAAACCGGGTTTCGATAACCGTGGTGGTCACAGCACAAATAGCCCATTGTGTAGCTTTGTGGTTAACTACAAACAAACAAACAAATTTGCCTAATGTGTGAGGTTTCAGATTCGATGCTGAGCAGAGAAGAAAAAAAAACTGTAATATAACAGAAATGTTTCGAAGGGTAGGTTCACAAGTTAAATGTGTGATAGTTGTCACGACGTTTGTTTCCATTATTTTAAAAAGAAAGTCAAGCTTTGAGATCACGGTCATCGTGGCTATAAAAGTAGATTCTAAAACATATGCAGAAAAAGAAGATTATTGATGTAATTATTGGTAAGCTTAGAAGATGATTTCTATACTGGAAATTAGTAATGATAATTTTATTTTGTAAAGAAAAAAATCAAAGATAAACTCGCATATATTTTAATTTCTCGATAAAAAAACAGTCTGATACTATAGAATTATAAATGTGGAGGTGTTAGAGATTTCCATACGAAAGGGTATATAATAATTTAGTGACGATGGATGTACGGCTCTAATATAATCAAGTTTAATGAAAAAAGAGAGAATCCTCAATAGCCGCAGCGCTTGAAATTCTTCGAAAGGGTTTGACTTCCCGAGTCCAAAAATGTAATTAGATCTCAAATCGGACAAGATATGGTGGAGCTATGAGTTAAAAGTTTGTACTTGATAAAAACAAAAAACATGAACCCATTCTATGAGCCGTTATGCCGCGGCTAAATATGTTCGAAAACAAAATATTTTATTTGTGCATGGGTCGTCTTTAAAAACAAATATTATTTAATATGTTAAACTGAAATATTTCCTGAATGTTCTAGACGAATTTTCCGTGTAGAGCTGTTCTTTAAACTGTTTAAAATGGATAACTATCGGCTTGTCGAACGCACCGTGATGCTCCACATAACCCCTGAGAACAACCGACTTTAATGACATTAGTATCGATTTTACTCACTCAGTATTAATGTGTAAACAGCTAGATAAAACCGGAATAAAATATAACATGGAAGGGACAAAGTTTTTTAGTAAACAGATAGACAAGTAGGTAGGTGGGTGAATGATGGATATATAGTGTCTGTTCTGTGTTTCTATAAAATGTTTTTCAATCTCCAGGTATTAATAAATTTATCAAAATAATTGGATATTTAAATTGATACAACCTTTTACGATTAACAGAGTAATCCTTAATTTGATTAAAGTTACTGCAGCTATTTAATCAGATTAGTTTTGAAAAAAGATTTCCAATGTAAAGTTTTTATAATCGAAATATCAGAGATTTAAGTTGAATCGGTAAATTATGAAAGCTTAAAAAATAATTTACTCGTCGTTTATCGAATCCCACGTTGTTGTAGAAAGTCTGAAATTACAACTTAAGTAAATCTCGGTAACAAGTGCGAAGGATTACAGTCAGCTAGAGTTTGAATCCACACTGATAACCAACCCACGCTAAGAGTTGTTATACGGACTTGCAGTAATCACCTTACAAGCTGTGCTTGATAATATTGATAGAAACTGTTACTTCAAGACCGTGAGATATACAGGTTCTAAAATTGTCATTAATTTAATATACAATTCAATACTGTTTTGTATCATCATCCAAGCATTTCGTTGCCAAATTCTCTTCCTTATTGGTTATGTTTATAAAATGACTAAATCGTGTTTGATACATTTCCTACTTCTACCAAAGTGAGCGAAATTGAATGTATTAAAATATCTTAAATGCTGTGTTTGTTATGCTCATAAAATAAGGTTGGATTCTCAATAGACCCCTGTATTATATTTTCAAAATCACAAAGTTGTCATTTATATATTTATCTCCTACCGGTGCTGCAGTCAAGAATTCTCTCTCAGTCAAGCGAGTGTACATTGACCCACTTGGCCTTCTAAACACCATTTTTTTTTCATTTGAACAAAACATCTCGTGCTTGTCACTCGTGAAAACAAAACACGTGTTCAGCTTGATTAGAGTACATCTATTTAACTCATTCATTTCATATATATATTCACCATATGTTGTTTTATGTTACTGAATAATAATATATGTGCAAGAAACAAAAACAACTCGTTTATTCAGTAGTTTAAACGCCTGCTATATAGCCAAAACCAAGTTGTTCTAACAACCGAATATACAAGGCTTTGATGTAACGAAAAATGTAATTAACACTCACTTTACCGCTGTTTAAAATGCATTTCTACTTTATTTGTTTGGCAGCTACATAGCTGTGTATTTGTGATTTTCCTATAATTAAGAAAAATCGAAAATTAAGGTCCGGACTTGGGCCTTCACCCTGAGCTCAGGCCCGGTTCCCCCTGCCTCCTACTTACACAATGTATGTGTCAGTTATTATGTGAGTTGTATCTGGTTGTACAATGTATAAAATACAAGGCAATCACGTCTCCTACTTACACACTTTAGATGTCAGTGATCATTTGAGTTATATCTGGTTGTACAGTGTGTAAAAATAAACAATCATGTCTCCTACTTACACACTTTAGATGTCAGTTATTATGTGAGTTGTATATGGTTG